GTTCCAAGCTCCTTTGAGTGAGATTTTTGCATAGTGAGTGGGATATGATCCCTCAGTTCCTATCAACGCGTACTCCCGCAGCCACTTGCAAACCTAGGGAGACCATCGACCTCGATAGTACTCGCATACGAGTCGAACGGAAGGCTTGCTTGGCAGACAAGAATGATACTCCTGACAAAGTTACAGTCAGGATTCGAACGCATCGAACAAAACCCATGCTATCCCACCGTCCACAGTCCCGAGAACGACAGGCCTCAGTCATAGAAACGCCATTGCCATATCTATATGCCCCCAAAAAATAAAAGCCCTGGTTGGAGATTATAAAAAAAAAGAAGTCAACACTCCAGAGAGGAGTGCATTTCATTTGGGGAGTAATTGCCGCCGCGCCGGTCCCTGCCCCTTTCTTTCATAAAGTTGAGGGAATATCTTGACTCCTCCTCGCCCCCTTTTGATGGTCATACACCCCGATCTTTCCGCCGTTTTTTTTTCTTGTCTTCCGGCCCCCCCGTTTGAGTATATTGTACAGGAAAAGATCCCGAGTCATTGTTCCGTTGAGCTCGCGACGTTATTAAGTTGGACTTTCGCTCCACAATCCGAGGAGTTACGCTGTTTAGTCGAAGCTGTAGAGCCATCAAAAGTCAGTTTCTAATTACCCAAGCTATTGTCCCTTAGAAAGTAGATCTAGAGGAGAAACTCACCCATGCTCCGTTTGTCTGACAATATCGCCCTTGTTTCCCTTTTGCTTGCCAGCGGCGCCGCCCTCAACTACTAACCGATCAAACTTGTAAAACTGGTTGACAATGGTTTGCCGCTGTTTCCAAAAGTGTTAGCTCGTTCTCTATTACCTCCGGACAATCCCGTCCCTCGTCCCCCCCATCCCTAGTCGTCACGCCAAAAACGCTCCTTCGACGAGAACGAGAAGGTGGAGTTTCGTGAGGAGACACAGAGCCCACTAACCTTGAGCTTCTCAAGCTCCTTGATCCCCTTTTGAATCAACTCCTGCACCTGCCGCGGGTCCTCGACCTTCTGGTGCTCTCTGAAAGCATCCCTCGTCCGTCGCTTCGCGTACTCGCGGAAGTTGTAGGTCGCAAACTGTTCGCCCGTCTTCAACAGCTGGCGGTACTACAGTTGTCGCAAAGAATACTGTTAGCAGAAGCTCTTCTTCAGGCGTTTTCGACGCAACGTCTTGGCATCTGGATCTTTCGAATTCAAATGGATAACAGAGTCACAAGCATGTATGCAATCGGGAGGAATAGTGGGAGAGTTGTCCCGTCGTTTTCTACATACCAAAGACCGAGCCTGCTGCGGCGCATCGCCCTTGAGAGCTTGTATCGCCGTCGCCATCGTGAATGCGCTTTTCGTGTACTTAAATGCGGTGCCCCGTGCGGGAGGGAAAAAAACCCTATCGATGGCTTGAAGGGGACTTCGTGGAAAGTTCTGCTGGGGTGTGTCGTCGTGAGGTGCGGTTGCGAGAGAAAGAAAAAAAAAATAGCTCTCGGGCAGTGAAGGAGGCGCAAATGGGAATTATTTCTCGAGGTTTCGGGGCGGGAAACGGACCTATGATGCAAACGCGGTTTCTCTCCTCCCGCTCGGCGTTTAGCCTTAGCGGCCCTTTCGGGGCGCGGCATTTTACTAATCCGCTGTCTAAGCCGCTCCCAATGTGCCGGGTGGCCGGTCTCGCCTCGTACCTCTGGTTTTCGTCAAGCACCAAAGTGAACATGGCCGAAACAATGAGCAATCGATTCATCACCATTTGCTTTAGTGGGATTTCTACCAATGCAATTAGGATCAGTCTGGAGGTTGATTTATAGCATAAATTTCAATTCTAGCTTTGCATAGTTTATCCCATTTTGCACCACGACAGGCCATTTCAGAACCTCCACCACAGACATCACAAATTAAAAATTTGCGACGTGTTTGTAAAGTACCTCTATTAATGCTTATAATCTACAATGCCTTGCCCCCTCGTTCCTGGTATCCTGACCCTGCAGCTGACCAGTTCTACACTGCGCGGCCACAAAAAGGGGGTTGGGCAAGAAAAAATGTCCCGCGTCTTTGATATATGCCTCTTGAGGAGCACTATATATATGACATTGTGTGTGTGGTAAGTATGTTCCTTGCGCCGCCTACTATGGCGCGGCCATTATTTTGAAATTAGGGTAGGCTCATGAATAGCTTCTCCATCTCAGGGTAATTAGGTGTTCTAGTTGCGTCTGTTAGTTGATGGCTTGTAAAATCTTGACCAGGGAGAAGAAGGTACTTACCCCATGCCGGTGACGGGATCCCATCCTGCCACGGCGGAAAAGCCCTTAGTACCGCAGCCTGGATTGTCGCCGTTGGTCACGTCGTTGAGAATCTCAGGGTGAGCGTAGAGCGTGGGGTTGATAAAGCCGACAGGCTTCTTGCCCGCCTCAATACGCTTCTCGTTGATCATGTTGACAATTGATCCAACAACAGGTGCCGACGCTGCGAGTAAGTTAGTTCTTGCCGAACAGATGCTGGAATTTGGAAGTCGAATGTCTCACCTGATGTGCCGAAAGAGAGCGAGAACTTGCCGTTGACGGCAGTGACATAGTTGGCGCCATTGGCAGAAATGTCCGGGAAACCTCGCACCGTTTTGGAGTTGTTGTACCGGTCTGCACCATACGGCGGCGCGTTCTTTGCGTAGTACTGCTCCATCATCTTCTTTTGGTAGTCGGGAATTGCGAAGACGTTGGAGAAACCTCCACCAGAGAAGATGGCCTTTTGGCAGGCGCTCTCAGGGGTATGGACCGTCGATCCCTCCAAAATTTGAGTAGCACCAACGGAGGTAACCCAAGGGCAGCCGCCGGGGAACGAAGGATTGAAGATACCCTGCTGGCCCTCGTTGTATGCACCAGTCTGAGTGTCGATGCACTGCTTGCCGTTACCGGCAACACCAGAGTCACCAGAAGAGTAGAGTACTGTGACGCCCGCCAGGCCGAGCTTCATGTACTCGGCACACTGGCGCTCGACGTACTTCTTGCCGAGATCCGCCTCGTTGAAGCCGTAACTTGTGGAGATGACGTTGACCATGGGGACGGAGCCGCAGACCTTTTGGCTGTATTGCCCGTCAATGTTGGGATCCTTGGAACCGCCACCTTGGAAAGTGCAGTAGCTGCCATCAATCGCATCGAGAAAGTTGTTGAAGCTGGCACCCTGGTTGAGGTCACCGACCTGGTACAGAGTTGTCGTTTGAGGGTGGATCATGGCCATGGCAAACTCAAGATCGAGCGCAGACTCGCCATTGAAGCGGAAGCTCTGGTTTGTGGTCTGTACTACGGCGTTCCCGACGAGGCTGACAATGGGGCCCTGTCCCTTCGCACGAGGCTCAAATTCGTTGAAGTACATATCCAGATCCGACTGAAGGAATGCTTGGGGCGTGTACTCGACGATGCCGAGGGTGTTGTTGGACGACTTGAGCGACCCGGGAGGGGTTGCGTAGAGCGCCCGCAGGCAGTCCGGAGTGATCATGGAGTCGCACTGGTTGAGATCCATGAGGGCGTTCATGACAACCGCGCCCTGCTTGGGTCCGAAGCCGCTGTCTGGGCTGCCCTGAATGGCCGGGTTCTTGCCGCCAGTAGCAACGTCTCGCTTGGCGAGCTCGCGCTTCCTGAGTTGCCGCTTCTTGAGCTCTTCGATGTGGTGCTCCTCCAGATCATGCTTGGTGTTCTTCCTTTGCTCTCCAATGCGCTGGTCAAAGTGAACCGTCGGCGTGATCATGTCGATATGCTGAACCAAATGCTCCGGAACGTGGTACTTGTCGCAAGCCACGTGCTTGTGACCTTGTTCGTGCTTGTACATGTGGTACTCGGTCTTCAAGAGCCGCTCCATCTCGCCTACTGTCCCGTTGAATTGGATCCAGCTGCGACCTCTTGTGAGCTCGACACGACTCCGGTGGATGCCCTCGCTCTCAAGCCATTGCATGACCAGAGCAATGGACTCCTGCTTCGGTGCAAACATTTCGGCGATTTCATCATGGGTCCAATGTTTGCCGTAGTTGGGCGAGTCGGGGTGAGCCACATCGTTCATGAACTCGTTTGCGCGGTGAAGGTTTGACTGTGCAAGACCAATCCGTACTGGCAGCCTGGCCATAGTGTGTAGTTTGTGATTCTTGACCCATTCTCTTCGCGCGGGATGCCTCTCCTCGTGCACGACGTGGCTGTGCGACCGTGTCACCGGGTTTGCAATGGTCACCGCCGCAAGGGCGGTGAAGAGGGTGGCTACAGCGCTCAACTTCATCGTGTATCTTGGGGTCGTTTTCGTCGTCAAACGGCTTCCTCTCTACTCTCTCACTTCACACAACGAATCGAACCTAAGTCAGAAGAACCGAGCGACAAGGCTGGCTATTTGTTGATATTTTAGTAGCTGTCGTCCAGTCATGACGAACCCCACTGACGCAAGGTAGCAGCTCTAGACCTGACGAATGCGAAACCGGTTTCAATAGGATCCTGTGGGCTGTTTGTCTGGTGGTGACAACCCAAAACGAACACTTGGGTGAACGGCAGCCTGAGCGCATGGGATCCTGTGGCAAAGACGGGAACACCTCTGACAAGTGCAGTTTCTTACCCCCCCGGACCCCGGTTCGAGGAATCTCTTCGCGGCTCGCCAGGCTGGCCTCATATCGGGAAGTTGTATGAAAGATTGATCAACAACAAGCCGATAGCCGAAGGTTAAGCTTTGAGGCGCGAGGTACCCCAAACAATCGTCTCATGTAGGTCCGGACCACCCCATCAGGACGGGTTCTAGTCGTTTGCTAAACAAAGATGATTCGTGGCCGATTCGTGCTGGTCATGCGAGACGAATCATCAAGCTTTCACGGATTCTTCTGCTCAAGATGGATTTGGTTCCGATGCAATTCCTCAAATGACTCGAGAGGCGAAGATAAGGAGAATTGGAAGGAGGAAAACAAAAGTTTGGATAAGGTCAATTGAAGGCTCGAGCCGCCGTCTGGTTTTGGGTGAAGGAAAGATGAAACGCTCTCAGGTATGAGATGATTTGGCTTCGTGATACGGCTGCATAGCCAGCTTGTGTAGCGCCCGTTGCTCGTTAATAATATCCCACAACTCTTCAGTCTCTTGCTGAGCCTCTTCATCCGTGGCACATTGTTGTGCATGAGACTCCTGGAACGAAAGAATGGCGGCCTCGAGCGCATCATCAGGCAAACCAAAGCCATTGAGCATCTTGCCGAATCTCGTCTCTTGTTCGAGACTTGTGTTTAGTTGAGATGTAAAGGTGAATTGCCGCTCGGTCTGAGTGGGCTTGACAACTGCAACAGCTTTTGTGGGTCGAGGTGTTTTCAGCAATGGCGGAAACACCAAGTTCGTCACAGAGGCATTGAGGTCTGTCAACTCTGTGGGGTGACCGTTTTCGGCCAGCTGCCATTGCAAGATTTTGCCTTTTGCATGACCGGATAAGATTGTTGTGCCATCATGGTTTGGTGCCAAGCACAAAGCCGAACCAGCATCTTCATCAGCAACTCCAATCGGTGAATTGACTTGAACGACAGTCGACGATGATTCAGTGCTATTCGGACCAATGAGCGGCTTCTCACCGAAGAGCTCTACGAGGTAGAGAGCCCTGTCCTCAGATGAAACGAAGACGGCACGACCGCAGGGATCCATGGAAACGCACAGCGGAGCCGTGAAGAACAATAGTGTACGTAGAACATCGCCCGTTTGATAGTTCCAGATGATGCAAGTCTTGTCTTTGCTGGACGAGACGCAAATGTTGGTTTCCGGGTTGACACTACCACTGACAGCGAGCGATGTGATGGCAGCCCTGTGGTTGGCGAGCGTACGGTCCGGCTCACTCTCCACAGAAGCATCTAGCTCTAGCAGACGGGAGATTGTCCAAACATGAATGTTGGAATCTTCGGAGCCTGTAAGGATGTGATAGGGCGTGACGGCCAGACACGAAACGGCTTGGACGTGGCAAGGTGGTGTGACCAGCTGGCGACCAGTGCATGTCTGTTGTTTCGTTAGCCACAACAAGACGTTTGGAATTGCATCCGGGAATAGGAAATGTTTACCTCCCACAGGATCAACCTGCCCTCGGAGGTGCCTAACGCCAAGACATCGTCAATCAACGCCAAGCTCCGAATGCGTTCTGGAAAGGTAACGACTGTTTCTTGGATGCCCCGCGATCTTGAGTAGACGTGAACCTGGGACTTTTCGTGCTGGGCGGCAAAGACATGCGAGTCACTGATAGCTAAGCAGTGGGCCGGGGTAGCACTTCTCTTGAGAGTTGACTTGACGGTGTAGCTGGGGCTAAGAGTATGGGCGTAGATGCCGATATCTTTGGATACGGCCGTGTTTGCCGCAATAGGCGGGCCGCAGATACAGGAGTAGAATTCTTCCGATAACATGGTGGAGGGGTGAGTGACAGAGAGGCGGTATCCGGAAGAGGTGGTAAAGGCCGAATAGGCCGCGGGCTCGTCGGAATCCGAGACTGTAGAGATTATCCGAGAGCGGCTGTGACTCCGGATGCTCGGGTGAGAGAACGCAAGGGGTGAAAGAGACCAGGCGAATCGACGGCAGGGTTCGAGAATAGAAGCCGACGATGCCTAGAGCCACGAGGTGAACAAGACTTTGTCCTCGTGCTCGGGAAGTGAATCAGTGCCACGAGGTTGCGAGATAGGCGTGGCGTCGATCCGTCGAGGCGAAGTAAGGTATCGAGTCTTGGAAACCACGTTGAAGGGCTTGATACTAGATTCAGATCTCTCCAGGTTTTCAAAGTGCGAACGCGAGAGGCAGAGCAAGAGCCAGGGCGGGAGCGAAAGTACAGGACCAATGGCTGGCGTTAGTACCAAGCAACGTTTCCTTCTTCGGGTCGTCTATGACACACTGGTGTGCTTGTGGCGTTGAGACTGGAAAAGCCAAAAATCAGACTTAAGAAAGTTGATAACGAGAAGTTGAGCTTGAGATGTGATGAGGCTGAAGACCCGGCTGCATGTTGCATTGAGAAGAACGATGAAAAAATTCGAATCCACTTTTCCCAAGGTGCGTTATCGATAGCAATCGAGAAACGGCCCCACCACGGAAGCGGCCCCCTGGGTTCAGGTCGCCAAGGGCCTATTGGCAGTCATGCAGTGCAGTTGATAGTGCGAATAGAGCAGCTAGAAGATACGCTAACAACCGATGGCCACTAGACGTTGTCTCGCGCAGGCGCCACGGAGGGGTTTGACCTGTAGCTTGCCTATAATTCAGCCACTAACTCACCCTTACAGCAGAGAAGGAGCTCTCAGAACGCCAACTGCTCTCCCTAGAGACACTAACAACGGTCTCCACGCGGTCTGGCTTATGGGAAGGAAGGAGCGCACAGGGCAGCAGCTTCAACTTGGCAGGTGCAGCTAAGCTGGAGCTCCCTTACTTCCTGCACGCCGTGAATTTGCAACATCATCGCCAACCATCAAACGACACCACTTCAACTTCATCTGTCCATGCCATGTTTTTTCACAAGACATGTCTCTCCTTTCGCCCCTCTACTGCGTAGCAGACGCCACGAAGCCTGTCTCAGACTCCACACTCTATTGTCTTGATTCGCCAATCTCTTCCAGTTCCACCCTTCAACCTTGGTTTCTAGCGGGGAATCTACTACCTATAGACAATCCTTCGCTTTCACAAGCCGCCAACGAAGCAAGACTCTGAAGTTTGAGCTTCCTGTTGTCTTACATGCTTGATACCGCCTCAACCGCCTCCTGTTCGTATCACTCACCGCCACGCGCCAGTCCTTTCTTTTTCATCAAAAGATCGCCGGCTATCTAGTCAGCTCTGTGCTTTGGGTCTCGGGCAGCCGTCTGACGTGACGCCCCGGCTGCATCTGACATCTGCATCCATGATACAATCACAATTCATCTGCATCTCGCCAACAGGAGGCCTGCAGGTTACTGCCGCTTGATTCTTGACAGTTGGGGATCGAAGCATCCCGCAATCTGCTACGGATACCCAAGCTTTCAGCCGTTGCCTTGCACGTACGAATACCTGTGCTCGGTCCTGATTCACTGATTCAATATGCCGGTAATCTGCAGAGTACCTCACATGCCTCGCTTGATAGGGCAACGACATCAGCAATGGCGCCCCTTCTGGAATTTGAGACGAGACGAGGGCAAGGGAGCCTGCGGACCCATTGCGTCCCTCACGATCCTCTTGTTTGGTAGATGACGATTGTCCAAAGCAGGTCATCAACCCGTCACAAGATTGCCAGCCGCCCTCCGACTCTTCGACTGCTCCATCCAGAAACGCGTACGTAGTCGCGATCTCTCAAGTTGGTTGGCTCTGGGCTGTCAATTTCAAATTTGTCCAGGGACAGCTTGCTGGGCTTACATGCCCTGGTCCATGCAGACTCTGACCCTTGCTCACTGCCCTGAACAGCCGGGGGAGGGTACGAATCGACGTTGCATTTTAATCCAATGATGACCTGCTGGGGCCCTGTCTTCTCAACAGCCGGAGGAGCAGCAAACATAGGATGCGTCGACAAATTGCAACATTGTGCAGAGTGCGCGACGCATGCGACCTGCGAAGACGGCAGATGGCATGCGATGCAACCTTTCAATTTCACATCATCAATGACGAGGAAACAAGACATACGTACTTCGTACAGATTGTCAGTCTGTCAGACTGGACGACGGCAGAAGGCGTTCTGCTGATAATCCTTGGAAACAACGAATTGAGCAAAGGTCGACACTGCGATGTTCATTTACCCCAACTCTCAGACATCCGAGCGCGCGGCGAGGGAACCAGATCGCCGGTCTACCTGGTTTATACAGCACGATGCCAGGGACTTGACCCTCTCGCTATCCTATCACGGTTGAACTCTCTGCTGGTCTGCTGCGCCGTCCCTCAATCTCCTGTTGATCTCGCCAGGGCCAGTCAATCCGGAAGGGGACAACAAAAAAGGGAGGGCCGAGAGACGACCCTCGCACAACTCGATCCAAGTTGCCGCACACACACAACGTACTGTACGGAGTACGGATACACAACCCACATATCGAGCCTGCATACAAAAACATGAGCACGCCAAAGACACACACATGGGACAAACTCAGGCAGGCAGTGCCGAGACAGAAAGCTGCCATCTGCCGCAGAAATCACTTACTGAGACTTGGTGGTCACCGATACTGTCATTAGAGGAAATGACAATAGCAGGAGAAACAGAACTGCAAGCCTTTCAGGCAGATGTCAGGACCGTCTGTGCTACAGTTTGCATTGCAAGCTGCTGTATTTGCAACGATCGTGTGCGTGCCGCCGCACAAGGCCTGCCAACACATGCGGATATGGAGTACTGCGTACGGATACAAGATGCAGGCTGCAGACGCAGCAACACAGACGCCTCGGCCGCCCTGGGCCGATGGCACTAACATGGAATACGCGATGGGGCTTCGTTGAGGCCTGCCAGGGGTCTGATCCGCCGCGTTGGTCGTTGGTCGCGGGTTGTTGGACGGTTTTTTGGAGTCCAGTCTGTTCTTTTGGGGACCCTTCGCTTCGATCCCTCGGAACTCGATTTTGTGATCGATTCCTCTGTGTCATGCTTCACCAACATTTGATTGCGGAAACCCCAGTGCAACGTGGTGGATATTATTCGCGGAGGTGACAACTCGTTCGAGGAGAAAACTCTTTCAACCTCCATCTCGCAGCCGTTTAAGCCTCCATCGTACAGGTCACGGTGGACACGGCCATGTGTCATGAACACGCACTCGGGTCGGGACAATTAATGACAGTTCACAGGCGAAGAGCATGCTTCAGACAGAATCAGACGCCAGCCCACCTTCCAAGCTTCGACGCCAAATAAGACCAATATTGCTTCTGCAACCGTGTGGCAGCGAACTGCCGTATGCAGCGCAGATATGCACAGAGAGCCCACTACCAGCGTAGCATTATTGAAGGCGCAAGAGGTCCTCGCCCACATCCACCTACGTTGCTTTTTCTTCTTTTTCTTCCACTGTTCGACAGACTACAGTCCGACGATACGGGTACGGAGCATATCTAGGCTACGGATACCGGTTACTCTATGTATACATACTTCGTCCGGACACCCAAGCTGTAATTGTTCTTTCGGTGGACCGAAAATCGGGGACGCGATGCTTGCCGTTTGTTACTCGCTTCTCAATAGGCAACGCTAAGAGGCATGCTGCCCCTGACCCGGCCATTCTAGGCGTCTCCATCCCGTGAGCTCCGGAGTCCCGCTGGACTGGTTCCCTCACTGGTTCGCAAATCGCAATGCCCTCGCGGCAAGAGTAAAGTATCATGCGGTATCCGGAACGCAAAGTGGACGGCACGGGTGGTACCTATGCTGTGGTTCGCGCAGACTCTGCACGCCCCGGAAGTGAAAAGAAAAGAACACCAAAGCCAAGGGACGGCCCTGGCTGCCACTCTGTACAAACTACACATGCACAGTAGGGGTGCGGACGACGCAAGGGCGAAAAGCACCATGCCTGGCGAATTTGTGTCTCACTCTCACGACTAACAATGGCCGTCAGCATTCTGGTCGTCCTACGGACCTACGGTCTATAGAATACTTATAGTCTCCCTCCGTGTCGGTTGTCTGAGATGGTGCAGCAAGCCCGACAACGTGTATCGCACTTACATTGATTAATTATTGTTGTTGCGGCCCTCGAGGTGTCACGGCATACGCAGCTTTCCCCTCCGGCAATCTCTGGGAAGCAATCTTTCTCACTCTCGATCCCTTGCCGTCACCCTCGAACGGAGCTCTCTCCCGCCACACCCCCCTTCTCATCTCATCTCATCTCCCTCGTCACGTCGTGGGCCCTTTCTCAGTCTTCCACTACGGATACTCTCCAACGGTCACAGAGTGCCTGCCCTCTTTGGGAATCCCGGATCCGACCACACAATCGTCCTTTCGGCTTTTGTATATGGAGTAGTGAGATATACTACATCGTACCGTACGGATACCTCCCCCCTTGATTCCCTTCTCGTAGAAGCAGGATAGAAGCAGTGGAAATCGAACAACAAGGTCCTCCCTCGGATCCCTACTAGCGACATTCCCTTCTTCTGCCCTACTGCTCCGTCGTCTCTGCCCATTGCCCACAGACGTGAGCAGTCGGGTGTCCATCGTCGCTGGAGCATTGTGGTACACAGACACGGCTACACGCCCGTCGCCCGTGGCCCATCCCCATCCTCTTCCCTGTCGTCAGCCCTGGCAGCTTAAAGGCTGAGCAGCTCCCAAGCGGCCAGCATCCTCGTGAGCAACGACCACCCCTGGCTCTTGGAGGTTCTCCCCTTTTCTCTCAGAGACTCGCCCAATGGCATGAGCATCAACCCATGTGGCATGCACCCCATGTTCGCGTTAGACGTTCCAGCTCCCTTCCCTGCCCCACACGCGACCGAGGCCCTCCCTGCAAGGAACATCTCTCCAACAACCTTTAAAACATCCCGTCCGCCGGTCCTGGGGCGAAGACGCTCCGTCCGGAGCATGAAAAACCTCTTGCCACTGACCCTGCCCTCCAGCTCCAGCAACAGCTCCAACGCCAGCTCCTCCAACTGCAGTTCAAGTTCCAGATCTAGCTCTAGCTCTAGCTCCATCTTCAGCCCGCAGCCGATCATCTGTCGTCCTGTCTCGTCGCCGCTGCCAACCCAGTTTCAACCACACCACCATCACCACAGTCATCACACACGTTCGCAGCCGCATACCGACCTCTCCTACGGATACCAACCCGAGAGTTTATGCATCCGAGCCGGCGTCATGGCCGAAGCCGCGGAACCTACCATGGACTGCAACCTGCCGGAGCTGCTGGCCCAGGACCTTGAGTTCTCTGCCCTCATCTTCGCCGCCAAGAACATGACTGCCGGCGCGCCCTCGCCTGCTCTCGCCTCGGACGAAGACGACTGGCACGACACTGCTGAACCTCCTTCCGTCCTCGGCGCACCATGTCATCCCAACGGAGTGGCTCAATTCCAGCCTCTAGGTGCTATCGACGAGAAAAGCTCGGCCAGCGATGCGAGCCACCATGACATTTCAGACGCCGCTTCAAGCTCGAGCGGTGACTCCTTTAGCATGGCCGGGGGTGACCTCGACGGCGAAGACGACGCCGCCGAATCACCGCACATTCGCCAACATTCTGTTCTCACTGCAGACACCACCATTTCCGCCTCAAGCCAACCCGTGATCGCGTCATCTTCGTCGCAAAAACGAGTCGTCTCCTTTGGAGGTGAAGCAGACGGAAGCTTGGAGAGCTGGATGGACTTTGAGCCAGACGCGCCGGCGGATCATCCCGAGCTCGGCAAGAGCCTAGTCCAATCGCCCGTCTTGACACCCATCAAGCCGGTGCGGCCGCTATCCCGACTAGGCGACCGGTCCATCAACGAATCACCGCCCCGGGCCAAGAGCGCCAATGCCGCAGCCACTACGCGCCGGCTGTCCAACCCGTTTGAGGGTTACACCCGGCCCACCAGCCGGGCCCGGAGTCTGCATCTAGACCCTACTGCGGCGGCCGTTGCTGCTGCCGCCAAGGAGCAGAACCGCCATTCAATGCACTCGATTCACTCACTTCACTCCGTCGACATCGCCGTGCCCACGCGTTGCTCATCGCTAAAGCACCGCGTCTCATTCACCGATGACGCCCGCAAGGCTATCTCTACTCGGTCTCGTTCGCGTTCGCATGCGTCCTCGCGGCATAGGCAACCCGATCACATCGTCGCGCCGGGGACGGATCGTAGCTCTATTATCTCCGACCTCAAGGAGGAACTGGAGCCATGGTTCCGCTACCTCGATGCGCATGACACGCCGACTTCAACTCCCCGCCAGGGCCTGGCTCCCCCTCTACTTGTGACACCGCGCCCGACCTCCCGCTCCGGCGCCGCTGGCCCTTCAAGAGCATACACCACACCGACTCCTCGTCCCCGATCTCAGGCTCAAACAAGGTCTCGGCCTACATCGTCTCTTAGCACATCATACACTTGGCTCGAGGACCCGATCGACATTCCGCCTCCTCCCTCGGACGACCAAAGCCGCCGTATTCCTCTTCCTCCCAATGTGATGGAATCTCTCCGCGTCTCCGTGACATGCTTCCCCGAGACAACGCTTCTCTGCTCCAGCCTCTCCATCGAGACGATCCGTAGCTATTCCCGCAAGGTCAGACAACCAGCCGCTCCGGAGGCTCTTCGCCCAGACACACCGCCCGCGTCTCCGAAACGCTGGCGCTGGCTCAGCTCCCGCCGCACTACCAATCTCAACCGCCGCTGCTGCTCCCGCGGCGCATCCTCTTCCAACCTCGATCTCCCCTCCTCTGCCTCCCTATCGCCGTCAACAGCCACCCTCGTTGCTCCACCCCAGTGGTCCCGTATTCGCAGCGTCTTCCCCCAGGGGTCAGATTGGCTCTGCGACGCCCTCTACGCCCACATCGTCGCGTACAACTACCTCGCGCCCATGGTTCAGAACAGTACGACACAGTCGCAGCCGAGACCTCCCACACCTGCTAGCCCCAGCAGCAGCAGCGTCATCACGGATGACTCCATCCCCAAGAAGGCCGCCACCTTACTCGGCCTTCAGGGCATGCAAGGGATGCAGGACATGACGACATCGCCACCGCCGCCAAAGTCGTTGCGGAAGCGATCCAGCATGTTTCTCGGCCTCCGGACCTGTTCAGCATCACGACAGAGTCAGATTCCAACGCCGGCTCCTCCTGCTGTGCCAACAATGACGCCGGCAGCACACTCGGCTGCGGTCTCCGATGTCCCCCTTCGGGAGCTGCAGCAGGGGTTGTCGCGGTGTATCGCGCACCTCGTGACGACGTTGCGCGCCGGGGGGTCCGGCAGGTCTATGGCCGGAGGCGACCTGATCAACGAGGTTGATCCGCTCGTCATGCGATCTCTGTGCGAGATTGTCAAGTGCTGCGAGGAATCGCCGAGCACGACAAATGATCGGTCTTTGTAACAATATTTTTACCATCTTCGTTATACCACTAGAGTTTTGTTTTGTTTGTGTCTTTTTTTTCTCTATCAGCGGACTTGAGATACACTCGGTACTCATGAGGCGCTCAGGGATTGGGTGATCAGGGAAGAGCGCGCGAGTCTTGTTATGGAATTCGGTATATATACCCTGATTTCTTGTCTTTCAAGCGTGGAGTAGAAAAGGGGGTTAGTCAGTCATAAAAGACAAAATAGCCTACTGGGGGGAGTTTAGCATGGGGTTTTTACCGGGTAATAGGCAGAAGGGAATCAAATGGCCACACGCCTCTTTCACACTTGTCTCGATGTGCATTAGTTGATGTTCAAGATGAAGTGACGTCGGTGACGAAGAGTTGGGAAGATGCCACGAGTGAGTTTTTGGTCCACAAGATATTCCGAAGAACTTTATTCGTAGGACACGCTTTAGGATGTCTGTACTGTTTGCATAGTTCTCATACTATCTGAAAATCTGCGATGGACTGAATCATGCTTTCATGATTCAGAGTTATAACAGAAGGGTTAAGTGGGAGCAAAAGAGGTGTTTGCAAAGGTAGGTTTGGTATTGAACAGAAGCTGAATCTTGCCTGCTTCTCGTCAGCGTTCCGTGCATTTCGTTGCAATATCTACATTCCGCAACTACGAGTCTCACAACGACTTTGGCGGATTTTCCCTCATCGAGGACGACTACGAGGGTAACAGTACGCCCCCCGCCCCCTCCAGGCTTGACTACTTGCCCGACTATGCGGGGCTACCTTCGAGTACAACCGCTATGAGTCTCACGACGAGCCTCTAGACCAAACCGACGAGAGTGGTGAAGACTTCGAGCAGTCGAGCGCTATTGATCACGAGGATGACTACCTTGTGCCTTCAAGTACTGTTCAAGAGTGTGAATCAGCCAGGACCTCAAGGTACTAACTATACCTACTTTAACTTGCTGGACAAATCAGCCACCAAGCTTACCGTCTCCGAAAGATTTGACATTTTACCCATCTTCGTTGTTTTTCAATACCCATCTCCCAAAAAGGGATATTTATCACAAGGTAAGTCTCGAATAATTCAACACAGCAGTCCACTAATTCTTCCACCACAACCACCGCATTCACATCATAGACTTTCCCTTTATCTTTCTCTCCACTATCTAACAAGTACGCAAGACAGGATAGAACCGAAATGACGAATACACAAGAGCAGCAACAAACTTGCCAACCTCTCCATCGCCCAACATGGCGATCATCAAACGGACTCGGCCGTCTGCGCAACCGCTTCCAGAACCTGCCAACGGAGGTCCTGCTCGTCATCATAGAGCACGTCCTCCAGCCCGAGGCTCAAAAGCCGAAAATGCAAGCCCTCGCGGAGCATCTCTACCTCGGCCTCCTCAACGACAGATTCCGGGAGTTGATCACACCCATCCTCGAGTCCCACGTGCGCAGCAACTTCTCCCGTAACACAAACGCAAGCATGGGCACGACCTCACAGACAGATCCGGGCGGGTTATACTCGTACATCCTCATCCTCTCCACAATAAGAGGGTTCCCCGAAGGAGTCAACGCAGCCCTGGACCTCGGCGCGGATGTCAACGCCAATGACGGCATCGACAAGTCCCTCGCAGCCAACGAGATTCTCCACGGCAAGCCGGAACCTAAGGGGTCATGCTTGACCTCCCTCCACTGGGCGGCCTTTAATCGTGATACTGCGATGCTCCGCCTCTTACTAGACCGAGGCGCCGACGTCCAACGCACGACGCACAGCTCCGTCGACCGCAACCTGATCCGCACGCCGCCCCCGAAGCCAAACCATCGCTACAAAATCAACATGACGACGCGGGTGAATGCTCTGGGTTTCGCGCTGCAGGCGAATTACAGCCTCTTGCCTGGCGGCATGACGGAGCAGCAGCGGCAGGCGTTTGTGGTTGATCGCGATACGCGCGATGAGGAGGCTGTGAGGATGCTCATCGAGGCGGGGTGTCCTGCTTCCGTTATGGTGCATCGGGAGCGGGAGTTCAAGGACGCCTGTGAGCTGGGGCGGTGGGGCGTTGCGCGGGATATCTTGGCGAATACGGAGTGGAGGAGAAGGTGCGCTGAGAGGGATGAGTATAATTCGCGACCGCCTGCGCCATGGTCTCTTAAGCGTGTTGCTAGGGGAAGGAATCCTAGTGGTGAGCTATCATGTGAATGAGTGGTGATGCTGTTGAAGGATGCTTCCGAGGATAGTGAGGTAATGGGAGAGAGGGAAGGGGTGAACTGTCTGCTCTTTTGTTGTTGATTTCCCCGGGAGGAGATTCTCCTTCTGGGTTCATGATGGCGGCTGGTAGAGTTGAAGAGTGTGTATCTGGAAGTCTCGTGATACGCAAATGCATATAGTCTCTGTACTAGCAGTAGCCGAGATTCTATTCTGGCCTTAAGCGATCTCAGCCTTACTTCTCCGATATTGGAGAGATGTTCATATAGTAGAAGTATCTTAGTATACACCTTCATAGACATCACCTCAAGTCTGAAGCCCAACTCCATGACACTTTGCAACGTCTGACAGGCATCATTTACATTTACCCACGTTTCAAATCAACCTCAGCTTCACCACATCCCTCTATACTATGAATACTCAACACTCCCTTCAAAAGGATAGGGATCCCTCACAACCCTACCGACCTGTGAATCCCAATCCGGATCGCCAATCCCATCTCCCTCCTCCTTATCTCCCTTCCACCCGCCGCGTGGCCTGGTCGTCCTCCCCATCTCCCCCCTCCCAGCCCGCCCCCCACTTCCCGCTCCATCACCACGTCCACCGCCAGGCCCATCACCATCATCACCATGCCACACCCTCGCCACGCGCCCCTTTCCCCTCACCCCCTTCATACACCCATTACTCAGCCCCAACAAGCCCGCGCTCCCCAGCAAGAGCACAAGCAGCACCAGATTCCCCGCCTGCGAGACGTTGCCGCTGAAGATGGCGACGACGTACACGGCCAGCTTGGCCGTCGCCTCGAGGTAGCCCTGCACGGCCGTCTTTGCGAGGAGCCAGGCGTCTGTCGTCAGGGCGGCGAGGTCGTCTGCTGGGCCGCGCATGCGAATTTTGAGGGAGGGGGTTAGGGGGATGAGGTACTCTGTGAGTTTTGGTGGTAAAGACGATATGGCTATGCCGCCGTTGCCGTTGCCATTGCTAGCGAAGAACGCAGTGGCCGGCGGCGGAGGAGGAGGAGGGGAAGGGGTGCGTTGTTTGATAATGTGGATGTTTAAGAGGCGGGATGTGATGAGTGCTAGGATCGACGCGAGACCCCACCCTTTGTGGGCGTTAGTTCGGCTTGTAAAGGATGCTCCACCACCGAGATCTAGTTTGAGATTGATTGTGGGAGAAGAGATCGCGATCAAGGGGGTTTGGTGGAAATCGAACGATCAAGGTGGGTTACCATGCAGAAGGGGGGAGCCAAAGACCCAGGAGGAAATGGGAGATGTTGGAAAATTTGGAACAAAGACTTACAGTCTGCTAGTAAAATCATGATAGTCAGCGCAGCAAACGTAAGAACCGGACTCGCGAGGTACAGCAAGTGACTCCCCCGCTCAAACTCCCACTCCGAGCCGTGCTCAAAAGCTCGAACGCGTCGGTTCCGGCCCCGGCTCCGTTTCCGGCCGGTGGAGAGGGTGCCGACGTCGAGTGTGATGATCTTTTCCCCGCTGCCTCCTCCGCCTCCTACTACTCCGGTCCCGTAAGCCTCGATCCCACCGCCGCCGGCCAGCTTCTTCCTCTTGAGATCCTTCTCCCGCGCCCGTTCCTCCTGGACCCCAAGTCGGGAAAGAAACAACAGCATTCCCGGATTCGTCACCTTAACATCCTTCTTCCGCCCGCCGGGCAGTGCCTGCGTACCGAAGATGCCGGCACCGCCGTTTCCTCCGCCTCCTCCCGCGGCGGCACCCCCGTAGCCGAGTGCAGCGGACGTCTGGGCCGTGACTACACCGCTGGTCCCCGCGACGCTGTCGGCCGCTTGCTGATAATGCAACCCCGGCGCGAGGACCAGTGCGTCGAACCAGGACGACGTGCCCGTCAGCGCGGTACGGTTGGCGATGGTCTGTAGGTCCGCGAGGGCGACGAGCCCCGCTGCTGAGAGGGACAGGCCTGGGATGGGTTCTTTGGAGAGGACTGGGAAGGGCATGATGTCGGGTGCGGGTTTGCTCGCCCAGCCTTTGTTCTCTACAAGGCTCGACGAGGAAAATGCTTTTGAGGGTGGGAGCTGGCGTAGATCTCTTATCTTGACTGGGTTTGATCGGCTTGAGCCTCACGCTGATGACGTGGTCGAGATCCCCGGCGGCGATTTTGTCACGAGGACGAGGAGGGCATGGTGTTGGCTTTCTCCATTAGCGACGACGATGACAGAAATTATACACGATGAACCCGGGATGTTGTCTCCATGAGCAGGCTGATACGCAAACAACGAAAGAAGGTTCCGTCCGAATGACCTTGGGTTGCAGGGTTGCGTCCTGCTGCGGGCTGACCCTTTCGCCCCTCCATTCCACCCTCCATCTTGCCCCTCCTCTATCCGAACTGCCTGGCATATCTAGCTCTCCGAATCTCCAAAGCCTCCCAGCCTCTCTCTGCTACCCCGACGCTATTACGTGCATGTGAAGTCGCAGCCAAGCTTGGAGCCGTTGCGAACGATGGCGCTGAGGTTGGGTCCCCCACCTACCAACGCTAAGGTGTATGTAGCTCGCGCCGGCGTTGATTGCTACTCCGCATCTAAAGAGTTCCGATTTCCTACCCCACTTACCATGTCAGACGCCGACAGGCCGGCCGGCGCCGGATAGGCCCGTTTTGTCTCAGACAGAGCGAGTTTGCAAATAAGCTCAAGTCGAGAGAAACGACGCATGATTGGGTTGTGGACGTGAGACTTACTTAACGCTACAGCAACCTTTCAAGGGCTCTTCCAAGGGCTGGAGAAGAGCTAGGTTCTGGGAATAGCTCCGAGTCAGATATGCTTCAAGTTGATCGATCTGCTTCAGTGCTGCGAAGTTGAGAGATTGGTCAGTGTTCAAGGCATCGCCTTCGGCTTTCATTTGAAGCCCGTTGTCCTCGGACGAGACTCTATGATGTGTCTAGTGGTCATACCTATGGAAATGAGCAGATGGTACAATGAAATAAACCGGAGTGTGCCTCAAGTACCCCATGATGAGTATGAGTTGAGCTGGATGCGCCTTTTTATCCTACCTTATTTGAAAGCGTCCAAAATGCCCAGTCAGATGGCCCTCAGCTTGTGGGATACATTTAGACCTTGCCTTTTGTCATTGTAGTGAATAGAGACTCGAGCTCTGGCATTCGGTGGCTGCCTTGTAAAAGAGCCACCTGATAAGCTGATTTCACTATGCCACTTGTATCTTGCAAGGAGGAAAACCAATGGATTCAGGTGTATAAGCCGGTAACTTGGGAAGTAGACTTCATAGACCAAGGCAGTGAGGCCCGTACCTAGACAATCTGTCATCGACAGTAGGTCGTTCATCCTTTAATCGTCGTACCTGATTCCCAATCAGAGCTCGGTGGTTTTTGAATGGCCAGCCACATCCATGGAAACTCAGCAAGTCAGAACTTGATGAAGGACCCTTGCTCTGTGAAGTATATAGCTAGCGAAGCTTTCGAAGATCCTGATTGAAGCAAGTCCTGACTTTCGTGGCCTTTTGGATGGCCCTAGGCAATACCACTCTCAAGGGAACTTCTATGGAGAGACTCCATCCAGCTTATGGACAGAACGATAGCCAAATAATGTCCCATCAAATTGAGTCATCTTCGAACACATCCTTTTCAAAAGACTCGAAACTCAGTTTAAGTTCATCCATATTAACACATTAGGATCCGTTATGGATGCATCAGTAGAAGATAGTTCATCCGCGCCAATGATCCCAGCCGCAACAGCAGAAACACCACATCAACCTTCCATTAATGCCTAAAAAACAAACCGAAAACACCTCATGATATCCTCCCTCGAAATCATCGCCCACAACCTCTCACAAATACGGCCCCAAGATCTCCATCGTCAAATCCCACACCTTCCCCTGCACATCCCCCCTCAACTCCACCAAAGCACTCTCGCTATACGAAACCTCCCCCTTATGATTTACCAAAAACAACCCATTCCTCCCCTCCTCCCCCCTCGTGTTCTTACATCCTTTCTCCTTCCCGTCCCCCTCCTTTTCCCCTTTCGGTTTCCCACCAAACCTCCCACAAGTCGCCAAATAAACATGCCTCTCACCCGCCTCCCTCTCCTCAAACCCCATCACCAAAAACAACGGCTTCAGCAAATTCGTCAGCGGGAACGGACTCCACCACGTCGGCGTGTGATACCGCGCCATGTTCCCCGTGTCCACGGCGCCAGGCCAATTATGGACAAAAGAAACCCCCGCGTTGGCCGGGTCGGAGGCGAGCCTGTCTAGGAAGAGGGTGTTCATGATTGACATGTGCGTCTGCGTCTTGAAGCCGAAGAGTCTGCTGCTGTTGGTGTTGCTGGGGGACGAGCGGGTGAGGTTGAGGTCTGTTGCGTCGATGCGGGTGGAGAGCATGCTGCCTGCCAGGACGGTGAGGACGCGCGGGGAGGGGCTTGGGCCGGGGGAGGATAAGGATGCGGAGGCGGAGGCGCGGAGGAGGGGGAGGAGGTGGAGGGTTGCGAGCATGCGGGAGTAGTACTCCAGGGAATGGCAGACATCTATCCCTTCCGCAGTATCTAAACCGAAATCAGCATCTTCACTCAACTCATCCATATACCCCCTCTCATCTTGCACAGAAACAAGCGAAACCTCTCATCAAAAACTCACCATTCCGCCCCCCAAAAGGCGCATACCCAGCCGTCAAACACAAAAAATCGAGACCCGTCTCTTTCGCTTTCACAACCTCACAAACCCTTCTCGTCTCTGCCAGCAACGAGACCTCGGCCTCGACCCAAACCAGCTCGGCACGCGGGTTCTTCTGCCGCAGGTCCTCGAGCACGGGTCTCATCGCCGGCTCCGTGGCTTTGCGGCCGGCGATGTAGACCCGTATGGGAAAGCCGAGGGACACCAGCTCGATGAGGGTGAGCTTGCCGAGGCCTGACGTGCCGCCTAGGAAGACGGCCGTTCGGGGCGCGGTTCGGGATGTAAGGGCGGCGTTGGAGTGTTGGACCTGGGCGCGGGTGACCATTTTGTGTATCTTTTTTTGGTTTGTATGTTTCTTGTATGACTGGTTTTCTTACAAAAAAGTTTGATTCAAGAAGAGGAAAGATGTAACAGCTGACTTGGGTCGTGAGAGAGCGCGCGACAAAATCTACTGAAATTCATCGCCTTTTCATCATCTTTATACATCATTCGCAGGAGGTTCGCATAGCTTCGCATTCCTCACCGGGTTAGCACCACCGGGATAGTAGAAAGCGGAGTTTGCTGACGCGCTAGTGGGAAGGAACTAACACCACATGCAAGCCCATCGGAGCATCACTCTGTAGTGTTGCCTAAGGTACCTTACCTTAAGGTGACTTATGGATGGGCGTATTATCATTGCGCATTCCATCAATGACTTGACCAATCATATCAAAGTCTCAACACTTGCGTTGGCGAGACCACTTCAAGCCAGAGGGGAAACTCGTGTGTTCCAACTTCCAGCTATGAACGCCGAACATCCGGGCGCGGGCGTGGAAAGTGGAGGTGGAGTTTTGCGTCCCTTCGCATTCCCGATCCGGTAAGCGAAGATACTCCACTTCTCCGCGGTCGTCGGCCGGTGGCTAGTGGGCCTCCTTCCGGTCATGCGAGTTAGTGGAAGCCAGTGTCTCTCTTTCAGTTCTCAAAATCTCTCCTCGACATAAGGTACCTCATCTCAGGGGCGAAGGATGCAATGAATGTCAACTTCCTCTCACCCCTTGTTATCAGAAAAATTCCAACATGATGAACGATTACTTCTACAAAAGTGTACGATTTCGGGGCCAAAAGGGTTGTCTTGACGAAAGGGTATGTGACGTAGTCCGGGTTAACATCTGGTTTGCCCAGCGGTTCGGGGTGTAGTCTATCCCGTCGGAGAAATAAAGAGTTGGGAGATTGGTAGTGCAAAATGTGCTTGCACGCTGACCTGCAGTCTGGAGGACACCCAAAGATGACGCAGAATCATTACGGTGAGGGAGTGACGGCTAAGTCATCTGCATAGAACTCTTTAGACAGTAGCTCGCCATAACACTCTGCGTCATGTTTTCTCCGAATCCGCGTCAATGACTCTTGTGCGATCCACGAGACCATGAGTAAGCGGGATACGAGCAGACAAGACGAACCCTGAACAATCCGTCAGGAGATGATTCGGAATGTCTTGAAGTTTTCGCAAAGCCTCCTCGCCTCCTGTGTCCACCAATAAGCAAGTTTGGCGAGAATGAACCAATGTTTCGTGATACGCGGCTGGGGTCTCGCGCGCGCTCTCCATCATCAAGGGGGTCTCCACGTTTCGAGTCGTCGATCATGGGCTGAGTATTCGTACACGACATGATCAGAATCTGAAAGGTCCTGAAAGGAAAGGAAAAAAACAATCATTTGGCGGCATATCACTTGCCTTAAATACGATTGCTGGCTATGGAAAGATGCATCGCCACGTTTAGACGCCAGGCTTTCGATACTCTTTCGCTTGTTGTTGTTCACTTATGGTAACCGTCGACACTTCACTGCGATTAGGGCCTGGGCAGTAGAAGCTTATTTTGCTGGTGTCTCTCGGCGGACAATAGAGGCCTGCACTAGCGAGCGGAGAGGCACGGCGGGACAAGCAGCCAAGTGCCAAGTGCTGCAGGGCACAATGGAACGTCGAGACGCCGAGAAGTGCGACTAGGACAGGACCAATCGCCAATTTCCAGCCCTGGAAGAATTAAGGATGTCTCACAACAAGGGGCAGAAGCAAGCTTGCTTAGGTTGCAACATGCGGAGAAGAGTTCTACTACGACGTTGACTGCTCTCAACGCAACGGTAAGTGCTTGGCGACATCGGTATCCGCAGTGTGAAAGGTGCGTGTTCCGGACCACCGGAGCAGAGAGCTGGCATCCGAATTGGGGCGAGTGGTCTGCTTCGGGATGCGAGGGACGCGAGGGATACGCATGTCTAGCTCAACTTCTCCTTTGAGATGAAGGAGTATGACTCTAATGCCTAGGGGCACTTCACTGTCCTCGCTACAAGCCAAGCCAACTTACTCCGGAAAGACTCCGTCACAAGTGCCGTCGCCGCGGCTTCATCATGCTTATAGAATCATTGTTCTGAAGGAGCGGCGATTGTCCGTTCGCTTGCCGCCTTTTGGCGCATTGCTTTCTCTTCAGGCATGTGCTCGGAGCCAAAGAATCGATACACGAGTTCCACGTAGACAGAATCTTAAGTGGCGAGAGAATCAACGCCAGTGTTTCTCGCTGAGACGTCCCAGCCGCGGTGCGGTTCATCCTGGGTCAAGTGACAGCGACAGCGTAGACACTGCAGATCTTGCGGATGTTGGATGAACCGACTGACAGCGACAACTTGACAAGCCGAATGTTACGGGCGGTGCTGACGAAATATGAGGAGAAGTCGTCTTGGCTCACGCTCGCCGATGACCAGACACCAGCTGCGTGGTTTATGCGTCGCAGAAAAACTGGCTGGAAACCCTTGGTGATGATGGAGATGACGACGTCCTTGGCCACCAAGACGGCATTCGGGATTCGCCAAGCCGACTCTGCTGAAGACTGTCGTTGGACCTTATGGGCGACGTCGCATTCAGATTGAGTTCTCTTGATGATGATGGAGACGAAAACGCTGGGCGACTTGGCACGTCGTCGGCAGAGATGGGGTCCCAAACAAATAGCGAAAGCGAAGACCAGCGCCAATGTCGAGTTGAGCAAGTTGCGCGCCGGACACCGAGGACGGACCGTCGAGTGGTCTAGGCAGAGGGAAAGAGGGACAGAGCGTCAGGCCTTCCCAGCTGAAGGGTAACTCTTTCTGCTCTCTGTGGGGATCGAGAACCAGGTCGTTCAGTTGGGACCACAGCCAATAGGCTGGCCGGCAGGCAGATACTGGGGTGAAGCCGTGAGCGGTGAGCCTGAAAGGACTCGAGGAGATGGGGATAGCTTCTCAAGTTCCCATGTCGTCGCTAAAACATCAGACGCGGTTCTGGTAGACGCTGGGACTTGGCGCCAAAGGAGGGGCCGTCTGACGTTTGGAGCGCGCCAAGAAGCTTCAGATGAAGGCAGGCGGTGCCGACGGGGAGGTCGAGACGGTCGGCGGGAACGCGGAGAGGGATGGCATGGCTGGCAAATGGGGCGCGGCGAGGCGTGGTATTGGTGATGGACAGTTGCGTGGGTGGTAGAAGTCCGAACTTTGAGGACGTACTCCCGTGATTCCGTAGACCGTAGACGGTAGGCAAGTAACAAGGTAGGTTGAGTCACAGGCTGGCGTAGCTGGTAGAGAAGGGAAGGGACCGGGGCTGAAGAGCAGACGAATACTACCGCGCAAGCGACGTCGTTGAAGACAATTGGTGAAGTTGAGATGCGGAGGTGGAGGTTTGTCGCAGGCCCCAGCAGTTTGGAAAGGGCGTGAGACGCGCCCAGAAGAAATCAGGAGGTGCAAGACTTGGCGAGAGGCGCGGCCGGCGAACGCAAACGCAGCCCAGTCCTCAAGCGGTCCATTGGTACCTTGGGCGGCCTACTCCCTACCTTACAGCAGGTAGAGGCGCTGTAGTGAGGATTAAGCGAGGGGACTAGCGGACACCGTGGGTAGCCTAACCTGGTTCAAGGCAAGTTATCCGTTGCAGGGAAGATGTTTCCAGTGGGTGTACCGCCTGGATGGAACGCTAGGGTGCACAGCGGCCAGGCGCTCTCCCACATCACGACGCTTCCTCATTGGCAGTTTTCCATCGCTTAGCTTAGTCAGTTCTGGACTTTGAGCCGCCGTACTTGAGGTTAACCTCCCCGTCTGCTGTCAAGGACACATGGTGGCGGCTCACATATCGCAAGCCATCACCAAGTTGACCCCTTCCACTTCCGCCCCCAGTTTGACTTGGCAGCCATTTAAGCTCTTGGCCCTGCAAAAATCAGCTGTTTTCTTCCTCTCTACCCCTTCTTCCTGTCATCCCTTCTCACAAGCCTCTCACCTCCCAACAGGATCCAACGTCTTTTCAGTCTGAACGTGTCTGTCAGACAAGTTGTCGGGCTCTCTTCCGTCGTCATCCATGGACTGTAGCTTGGCTGCAACGCAAGAAGGAAGGAACCTAAGTAACCTGGAGTGCAATATGCGTAAGGCAGAAACGTGCTTCATCTGAGGTGCTTCAGCCTCGCACCGGGTCTTGCCACGCAGTCAACTTAACTTGCTCTTTCCTGCTGCGGTCTGGAACTGGCTGCTGTGTGTCCTATGCGTCGTCTCACCACGGGGTGACGGTTGGGAAAAGTGGACCCGAATGCCCCTGTGTCGTCCGAACAGACTCATTGTGACAGAGACAGGCAAGAGCAGGAGGTCGTGCATGGCTTAAAGGCTGTTAAGGTTTAGAGCGCTACCAAAGGTGAACAAGGTTTTTCTGGCGGCTGCCTCATCCCTGGTTGCTTCCTGCCATTACACAGCATCTTACCTTACTCTTGCCATATCTGCCACGCGTACGAGTAAGAGCAAGACGATGGTTCTTTAGAGCTTGCATCTACCGGGCTACCTTACCTACTTTTTGCCCTCACCTTACTTGGAAGGAAAGAGCAAGCTTGGGCCTACCTCACCTTACCTCAACCTGAAGTTGCTGCCCAGGCCACGCCTTACGCAGGCATCGCACCTACCAGCTTTTCTTTACATCTCTAACGCCCTCACTCAGCCGAGGAAGGAGACACATGCGGATACCTTCTTGAGTAAGGTAGTAGGCAAACACGGATAACGCAGCACAGGGTACTCCGTACTCCGTACTCCGTACTTTCCTTCCTTTCCTACTTTACTCAGCCAGCCCGTAACACGTGGTTGAGGGAAAATCCGAGAGATACGTACCCAAAGCCATCCTTGCCATTGCACCTTCCATCCATACCTGAAGGTACTGCGTACCTACCCAGGCAGGCCGTGTCTGAGTCTCGTGCTCCAGTGGCAGGTGCTGCTACTCCCCGCCTACCAAGCTCTTGGTATCCTCTTGGATGCCTTGGACGAAGAGCCTCAATTCTTGACTCCCGTCTTCCCCCAGACATCACTCCCGCATATGATAGTCCTCCGGCTTCGACTTGGCCAACACCGCTCTTGTCGTCGATCCTTCCAAATGCTTATTTTTAGCCACCCTCCCGCTTCTTGGGAATCACTTGGGTAAATGCAGTCATTCAGCATCACCTAACATGATGGTGTTGATTTCCAGCCCGTCGTCTCAACAAGATCATCGCTAAGATGATCTTTGGTAAGGGGGCTTCGTCTCCGTCCGAACCAGCGCTTCTCTCCCACAGCCGTCACTTCAATCAACTCCCACGTTGAGACTCGTGGAACGCGCATCGCAGGGGTCTTCTCTCCAGCTGTTGACTTGGCCAAGCACCAGACTCATAAAGTGGCCATATTCCCCACAACCCCGTCCAACCCTCCGGAGCCTGGCAGTTTCACCCTGGCGACGTACTCCCATCCTGTCAACTCGACCAGGGTCGCAGGGCCCCCTGGCTTCCGCTCTCTTGTCCAAACGGCCCTCCTTCTAGCCTCCTCCTCCGTCTCAATAGCCTCGCCCGGCCTTGGCCGCCTGCTCTCAATCATTGATCCTGGTCCATAGTCCAGATGACATGCAGTCGCATTGGATGGAGAAGCTTGAAAGCCCCCCTCCCATTCTGCGCCAGAAACATGCCCGCGATACCATGGGAAACGGAGGCGCTCATCCCCAAACACAGGGAATCCTAAACCTCATTCATCAACCCGTTCTCTTTTTCCTTCTGAGCCTCTCACTGCTCCTCAACACCCTGGATGAAGCACATGCCAAGATCCTCACCATGATCCCGTCCCTCGCTGCTTATCCGCCCCGGCCATCTTCGCATGGGTTCTTGCCTATTGATACTATTCTTGGACCTGTGAGGTAGATCATCAAGATAACCAGCCCTCGACTACAGTCTTACAGATCATAAGTATATAGACATCATGCCATCTTGATGCAAACATACTTCTTCTCTCGGCTCATCTCGTTCTTCATCTCCATCATCTGTCTTTTCTTTCACCTTCAACTTCTCTTCTCGTTCGTTTCGTTTCTTCCCCTAGAGGGCTGGTCATACGTTTTTCTTCAATAATCTACTTTTTTGTAACTCGCTTCTATTCTTCCCTTCCTTCGATCCTTTGTAGGCCCCCCACGCGCTGGTCCCGTATCCTACCTTTAGCTCAATATGTCTTCCCGTCTCATCACCTTCGGCTTCTTCGCCGCCTCTATCTCCCAGGTTCTGGCCTCGTGCGCCTATGGAACTCACTTGGATCCTCGCGCTGAGGAGGGAAAGGTCAAGGTCAACAACTTTGCTTACACCGGCAGCAATGTGAGTGCTCTCTCTCCTAGAAGCCGCACACCTCAATACTAACAATGTCGTCAAGGGCCCCTTGAACTGGGTCGCTCTGGATACTACTGCCAACCAGCTGTGCGCCACGGGAACCACCCAGTCCCCTATCGACATGGTGGCCGGCTCCTTCAACGTTCTCCCCGGAAGCTCCATCAACCTCCAGATCCCCGACATGGCCGATGGCACCGAGTTCGAGAACTTAGGAACCACCGTTGAGGTTATCGCCAAGGGCGGATCGATGCAAGTTGGAGGCAGCAACTTCACCCTGCAGCAGTTCCACTTCCACTTGCCCAGTGAGCATCTCGACGCCGGAAAGAGCATGGCTATGGAGATGCACATGGTCTTCGAGGGTGCCAACCAGGAGATTGCCGTCATTGGTACCTACATCGACCTGGAGCAGGGCGCTGCCGCTGCTGCCCCCGCCGCCCCTGTCGCCGAGGCTGCTCCTGTTGCTGAAGCTGCTCCCGCTGGAGGAAACGCAACTGCTGAGCGCCGCACCAAGCTGGCCCGCCGCGCTGCTACTGGAGCCGCGGCCGAAGCCCCGAAGGCTATCCCCGCGATGGGAACCAACCCGATCAAGGCCGAGGCTGCTTCTTCTAGCCTTCTCGAGACCGTCTTCTCTTCCCTCGGTGCCATCAAGGAGCCCGGTACTGTCACCAAGACTGGCGCGCTGAACATGCAGGAGGTCGTCACTCTTCTCTCTGCCGGCAGCTTCCAAAGGTACGCTCCACGTCTGACAGTCCTCTGATTTCCAATGTCTAATTCTTTTGCAGCTACATGGGTTCCCTCACTACTCCTCCCTGCTCTGAGGGTGTTCAGTGGCTCGTCTCAACTCAGCGCCTGATGGTCCAGCCCCAAACCTTTACTGCCGTCCGTGATGTCATTGGCTTCAACGCCCGGTTCCCCCAGAACACCCTCGGCCAGGCCAACATCATCCAGGTCGCCCAGCAGAGTCTCACTAGCGCCAACATTGCCAACCCCGTTGCTGCTGCTCCCGCTGTCGCTGCTCCTGTTGCCGCTGCGCCCGCCGCTCCTGCTGCTGAGGCTGCCAAGGAAGCCGCTCCCGCCGCCGCCCCGGCCGCTCACGCCTAAACGATCAATAATGGTCAGCCGGCGAGGACAGCGAAAGAATCAGCGTCGCGAAGTATCATTGCGACTCAGCTGACGCAGTAGGCTGGGACAGGATGTGCAAGGATGCTCGATGCCTGTTTTGAGTTCAAGTGTATCCTGGTCTCATGCCGATGGATGGAGGAAGGCCGACGGAAAAGCAGTCCCCGGGCGCTGCATTTACAGCTGGGACAAGACAATCTTAACACCAGCCAGCTGCGCGCATTTGTACAGACATGACTAATTGACGGAAAGTTGCACCCGGGCAGTTATATTTGGACTTTCACTTGTGTATTTGGCATGTGGGTTGAACTGTAATTACCGATGCCTCTCCGATGAAGCCCAGTCCCAACGAGCCCAAGTGCAGAGAACAACACCGAGACAGCGGATAGTGGGGGAAATACCATGGAGCTCTGGAGTCCCAATGCATAACAGTTTACTGAGTCAAGAAGCATAATGGTGAAATAATGGTAAGATGGGCATAGATAGTTAGACAGAGACAAAAGTAACACGAGTCAACTGCAGTATATCTCACCTTTCCAAGTGACCACGCACCCCAGCCCCAGTGCGCAAACCCGGATAGAGGTCGCCGTCGGAAATCCTGGGTGAACGAGAACGAGTTTATCAGAGATCACGGGCAGAGACATACTTCCAAAAGAACGCTCTTGGTGTTTGGCCAAGATCCCAAGACAAGTGAAAATAGAAGCGGCGTTTTCTCAAGTTTCTGAACCTGATCAATCTGGAAGAAGATCCAGGACACCTCAAGAGCCGCAGCGACTTTTTAGAGAGAGCGTTTCGCGTATCTTGTTAAACGCTCTTGGTGGCCGGCTTGGCGGCTACCGATTGATTGGGCGGCTCTTTTTTCTTGAGATTCAGTGTATGACTGCCCGTTTTCGGGTTTGCTTCGCAAGGATATGCTGGGTTTGAGGGGTTCCGTGCTTGGTGTTTGAGGGGCGCGACTCGTGGTGGCTGGACGCGGGATGTAGGGAAGTAGGGAGTTGCTGGAGCGCTAATGCGCCGGTCCGGGTCGGTCGGTTCGGCAACTTTTGCATAGGGGGCGAGAGTGAGAGGGAAGAGGGAATGGCCAAGAATAAGGTGCCGGCCGGTGACGATATTTTCCCACGTGGTGTTTTGGGGACGTGCTGCATTTAGAGAGTCGGTATTTTGGGGGCCAAGGGCCAAGGCGTCGGGTGTTTTTGCTTGGGGTGTGTTGTCTTTGTAGCATCTAGATTGAGTGTTTCTGGATATCAAGAAGCAGAGCGTATCGGACTTGCGAATCTCAGAGTTTACGGTACTTTTCTTCAGGGAAACGTGGGGGTTTATCCTTCTGACATGCTATTCAAGAGGATTTCTCAGCTTTGCTTCCCTCGGATACCCAAGACAGACGTAGCCGCTAAGGGCGAATTGTGAGGGGTCGATTTGAAGTGATCCATGAACGGGCTGACATGATGTTGATGAATGAATATCTGAGGTACTCTAGGGTGTACATCAGATTATTAGTTTGGGTATGTATCATCGGGCTCCGTCTTTGGAATAGAGGGGAGGTATATACATGTGTTGGAACGTAGCCACGGAGGCCAACAGTTTGTGATTTTGGGCAATGTGCCCTTCCATCTATCGTGAAGGTGGTCCGAGTAGGTCGGACTCGTAGCGCCCAATCAAGCGTCAGAAGCTAGATGACTTCTTCATTGCGCTCGAGAAAGCGCGAGATAGCACAATCAAGCTATTGAATCCGAAACCCCCATCTGTGTCCAAGCGGAGGCCCCGTATTCATTCAACACAAAGATCTTCCAGAAGAAGTCATAAAGGTTGCCGATAAACAAACCACAATGCCAAGTCCTCCTCTTAAAATAGGTGCCTTGGATACGTTTAAGAGTGTTGCCTCTTGCAGTAGATCTTCATGATTCACAGTCTTTCAGGGATGATTGGTGACTAAGGAAACTCTACGAAGCCTAATCTACCTCATCTGAGCCGGTGGTGCTGGGGCCTATGAGAGCAGGCTGGGTTACGACGCGCAGAGCGGTCGTCTTTCTTGCCATGCTGACACAGTTATGCGGCGACTTGTATAGGAGAATGAAGCGTCACTAGCCCATTTCTCATCTTCTAATTCTTATTTCACTATGAATGAGGTATATGTCGATTACATCTCAAGATCCTGTAGCGAGTTCCCCAAAGCGTTGCCGGTGGGCGGATGATGCGCGATGGCTCATCCGGGTTAAGTGGATCTGCTCTTCGGCGCCGGGCCCGATACTGGTCAGGTAGATCGCAGGCGTGTGGGGCCGGGACGGTAGCGCTTACTTGCATCAACATCACCTTCCTTTGCGGGTTGAAAGGATCAGTAGGTCTATGCATTTCAGCAAAGTCCAAGAAAAGCATCGATGAGAAGGAAACATATAAAGACAAGACGCCGGACCCGTGTTTTTCCTTACCCATATTCATTCCGCGTCAACAGTAAAATCACAAGAACCCATCCCTCCACGAAAAGTCTCAAAATGGCCGGCCCCGCGGCGAACCTCCCACCCCTCCTCACTCCAACCGACCTCCTCGCCTTCACAACATCCCTCAACCTCCCACCACCAGCCCACACAGAACCTCTCACAGTAACAGCAGCCTTCCACAGCATCTACCTCCTCCACTTTTCCCCTTCAGATGCCACGCACCTCGCACCGGCACGTCCCAACGCAAACGGCACCATAACGCTCGTCCTCCGCGTCGCAGGCCGCCACTTACCACGCATAAAGGCAGAAAACGAAGTCGCCGTGATGCGCTGGGTCCGGCAACACACCGCCGTCCCCGTGCCCGCCGTGCTGCGCTGGGATTCTTCTTGTGAGAACGTGCTGGGGTACGAGTTTACGCTGTTGGAGAGGGTTGACGGTGCGAGTGCGGATAAGGTGTTTTGGGAGCTGGGGGAGGTTGCGCGGAGGAGGCTTGTTGAGCAGCTTGTGGGCTTTCTCGCGGAGCTGTGGGAAAGTTCGAAGGGTGGTGCGTGGAAGCATGTTGGCGGGTTGAGGGTCGATGACGAGGGGGAGGTGGTGCCGGGCCCGGTTGTGGATGAGTGGTTTTGGATGGAGCCTGAGATTTCGCGGTGCTGGGAGGGGGAGACGACCGAGACGTTGAATCCTGTTGGGGGCGCGTTCTCCGGGTGGGCGGAGCTTCTGGATAAGAGCGTCGAGAAGTATATCTACGCTATTGGGAGGCACGCTTCGCTCGAGTGGATGAGGGATCTTGTGCCGCGTTTGGAGGAGTATAGAGAGTATGTTAAAATTCACGCGGACGAGGTGGATGATACGTGGTATGTACTCTCGCACAGGGACCTGCACCTCGCGAACGTCATGGTGGACGGGGAGGGAAACGTGACGGGGATTTTGGATTGGGAGTTTGGTGGGGTGGTGCCTGGGCCGAGGTGGGATCCGCCGAATGCGTTTTTGTATCCTTGGGGTGGAGGAGATGATGAGATGGTGGCCAAGGCGGAGAGGGAGAGGCTGAGGGGGTGGGCGAGGGAGTTTTGTCGGGAGAAGGGGATCGAAGGGGAGGTTGTGGCTGGATGGCCTTATAAGGGCGTTCAGGAGACGGTGCAGAAGGTCGTGAACTTTACGAGGGCGATATGCGAGGTTTGTCCTAGAGGGAAGGGGGAGAAGGCGAAGGCGTGGAGAGTTAGTCTGGAGAGCGAGTTGACGAAGCTGGGGTTATGATCGGTAGCATGTTGGATGTTTATAATGAGAAGTCGCATTTCAACTATTACAATAGATTCGAGGTATTTCTAGCGCCATATACACATCAGAATAACTCCTAATAGACAAATTCATCCGCAACGCCGCAGGTATCTCGAAAGAACAGGTCCGTATACTCTCCTCCCCCCCTCCCCCCCTCCCCACTAAACTCCTCATGCTCTTGTTCAAGCATCGCATGCTCACCTTCTAGCCCGACCTAAACTATCTAACCTTGATGCCGGCCTACTTCCATCCAGCTCAGCATAGTACTGTGGAACAGGCAGCTCTGTCACTTCTTGCCGATTCCTACCATGCTGGTGTACGTAAAGCTCGTGATATCGCGGCGCGGGAGACGTGAATTTATTCGTCTCAAGAGGCCTCGCATGATATTCTTCGACGACTGGCACAGTTTCTCCTGCCCTTCGCTGCTGCTTGCGCTTCCTACGCCAAAAGAAGAACCCGAGGATGGCCAGCGCGATGACCCCTACCACAGCACCTACGCCGATTCCAATGGCGGTGGTCAACGGGAGGGCTGCGGGCTCGGGCGTCGATATCGCTCCTGAGGGCGAAAGTGTCGTGGTCGATGCAGTCTCTCGAGGCAGAGCGGGGGCATTGACATTGACTGCGTTTGTGGGTGTTGGAGTTGCGTCAGTGACAGTGACTCTTGCGATTGGAGTGGCTGCTGTCTCTTCGATATTCCATCCCAGCACTGCGATGGCACCAACGAAACCTGGTTGGGTGAGGGTTGACGTCACCATTGTCCAGCTTGAAGTATCTGGAGCGGATGTTGATGCATAGGTGATCACTGCTCCGGACAGGAGATCTGAACGGCAGTCTCCTTCGACCGAACCGGCAATACCTCTGATCAGAGTGTAGTCTCTACGACGACTAATCAGCAACAATCCGTATACTGAGAAACTCTCGATCACCAGCGACACTCACTGCGGGCAGCACATGGCAAGTGTACTGCTCGTATCGTTTTTGACCGACGTCGCAACCGTCACCCAGCGCTCAGGACATACCAGAGGCCCGATACTAACGGCAGTATGGCCCTCGCCGTCGTTGAGGCCGAGGCGTCCTTGCTCCCACCACGTTGTGACTGCTGGCGGCGCACATCGTACTCTGGTGTTAATGTCGATGCCGTAACCTGGGTCATACGCCGCGAGAGAGAAGCCGTTGAGGCGATAGATGGTCGAACAGCTCGTCGGTGGTGTGAAGGCGGTCGGAAGCGCTATGAAAGACGTGACGGTGCCGTTCTCGTCGGTCACAGCGGGATATGCTGTCGCCATTGTCACCGAAGCCTACAACCTGCGATAGCCATGTAATAAGATAGTGATGGTAAGGAAGAAAAGCTAATCAAGTTGCTGAGGCCTTTGGCTTAGGGAACTCGACGAAGGCGAAGTTGATCTATCTGTTGCCAATGCTGTAGGTTGAATGCCCACAGGTTGCCTTTCAAATGGGTGGAACCGACATGCTAGTATTCTCGCATCGGTCTTACATGATGAGTCCCTGCAATATCGTGCTGTCTTCCTTTGTTGGTTCTGAATTCAATTGCCATGTTTAGACAGCGAGGGCTCTTTTTTGGCCTGTATTGTAGATGTGAGCCATGCGTTGGCCAGGCCTGAGGTGCGATCTGGAGAAATTGTCCAGCGCTTGCGTCTCTCGAGAAAACAGGCCCCAACAACATGCCATGTGAAGGCAAGGTAGGTAGGGTAGTCTTACGGCCGCAGTTTCCTAAGCGTAGCGCGCGGCACAAGATGGAAAGAACCCCCCCCCCCCCCGAGTAACGAGCTCCAACATCGTGCAGTTTTGTGGAACCTGGGCGAATGGCATCTTGAGATCTCGGGCTGCCAATATTCAATCAGGCCGTTACCAACTCTTCGGTAACCAATTGAAAGGGAAGGCGCTTGTTGCCTTCCCGAATACACCAGCGAAAACTTGAGGAAACTGCGTCTTTCGTCCTTGGAACATGGTTGCAATTACCGCCCGTTGGTTGTTCTTGCCCTTGCATGATGGCTCATCGGATACCTCTTCCTCAGACTGCAGGCAAGGCCCAAGGGCGCTAAGCGCTGACGCTTCTGATTGTTGGTTTTGAATGGAGGATCGTACTTATCCATTCCTCTGTTTCTTTTGCATTGAGACTATTTCCTTTTAGTTGTGTCCTAGAAGACACGATCGAATCTAGTTCTGGATCAATCACACTCATTTTCGGCAGCAAGAACACCACGATGGGCACCTCACCGAACCGACGAAGTCGGCACTCACCCACACGACTCAAGGCCGCTGGTTCGGCCGGTCGTGACCCTCGGATTTCTTTGCACTTGTCCAGCGAGAGAAAGTATTCATTGAGACGGAGGATACGTAATGTCCTCATTGGCATATTTGTCTCCGCAGTTCTTGTCGCATGCCTTAGAGGATATTTCTCTGGTGATGCTCTGGGATACATGCAGTACAGCCCACAAGCCCAATTCGTCGACTGGTATGACAGAAGAGAGGAAGTGAGAGATGCGTTTCTGACGAGCTGGAATGCTTACAAGAAACACGCATGGGGTAAGATGTCCTACATGACAAGTCGTCCCGTTCTTCGAATTCAACTAATACGCCGACTCTTTTCAAGGTAACGATGTCTTTCATCCTATGTCCAAGAGAGGAGAAAACATGTCTCCCAAGGGCCTAGGCTGGATCATCGTCGACAGCTTGGACACAATGATGCTCATGAATTTGACCCAGCCCCTCGCTGACGCCAGGAGGTGGCTGCACCGCAGCCTCACTTGGGACCAAGACCAAGACGTAAATACCTTTGAGACCACGATCCGTATGCTGGGCGGCCTTCTATCGGCACACTATCTCTCAACCCAGCTGCCGCATGTCGCATCCAAAAGAGACTCTGTTTATCTCTCGAAGGCGATCGACCTGGCGGACCGGCTCCTGGTGGCGTTTGAATCCAACTCTGGGATCCCGTATGCGAGCGTCAATATCGGCAAGAGGGAGGGCATCGCCTCGCATGCGGATGGTGGGGCTTCGTCCACGGCTGAGGCTGCGACTGTACAGCTTGAGATGAAGTATCTTTCCCACTTGACTGGAAATGACGTTTACTGGAAAAAAGCAGAGCGCGTCATGAAGGTGCTGGATGACCAGAAGATGGAGGGTGGACTACTTCCCATCTTTGTGCATCCGAGCCACGGACAGTTCACGACGAGGGAGATTCGGCTCGGAAGTCGAGGTGACTCGTATTATGGTAGGATCAAGCCCACTTTGTGAGATAGCTCCGAGACTGACGCCTCATAGAGTATCTTGCGAAGCAGTACCTCCAAACAGGCGAATCCATCTACCGCGACATGTGGGATGACGCCTTGGGCGGCATCGCGAGACACCTCGTCACGACAACGCGGAACGCAGCACTGAAGTTCGTTGCAGAGCTTCCGACCGGCGTGGGAGGACCGCTATCTCCCAAGATGGACCATCTCGTCTGCTTTCTTCCGGGCACAATCGCCATGGCTGTGAGTTTCTCAAGTCTCTCATTCTGTCATTTCCTAAGACAACTGGCTGAACCCCACCGTGACAGGCAACAGAAGGGCGGCCTCTTGCGCAAGCCCGTCGTGACCCGGGCTGGACGGCTCAGCACGAAGACGACATCGAACTCTCGATCGAGATCATGAACACCTGCTGGGGCATGTATGCCGTCACTGACACTGGTCTCGCCCCCGAGATTACGTGGTTCAACGCCACAGAAGCAGACTTACAGCCCGGACCTGGCGACAGGTGGTTACGTAAAGAAAGCAGTGGTACGTTGACGACTCTCTTCCAACCTTCCCAAGCAAAGGAGCCTTGTGCTAATATAATGGTTAGTACTGTCGAAGTGGAAAAAGGACTTCATCATCAAGCCCCTCGACGCTCACAACCTGCAAAGACCCGAGACGGTAGAGAGTCTGTTCATGATGTACCGCATCACTGGCAATGCCATGTACCGAGAATGGGGCTGGAAGATTTTCCAATCGTTCCAGAAGCATACTTTGGTGCCGGACGGAGAGGGGTATACTAGTATGGATGATGTACGGACGGTGCCCGCGTCAACGAGGGATAATATGGAGAGTTTCTGGCTGGTAAGTTATATATTAAGTGGTCGAAAAACAAAGTTACATACAGAGCAGACTTCGAGCTGACGTTGCCAACTGCAGGCTGAGACTCTGAAGTATTTATACTTGCTATTCTCGCCGACGGACTACATGCCAGTAACAGAGGTCGTCTTCAACACAGAGGCTCATCCTTTTCCAAGGTTTACGCCAAGGAGTTCTTTAAAGACTGGCTGGGAAAGGCTGCCGCGATGACAGCCATTCAAACAATCTTTGGAGCTAGGGTTGGTATAATTACGTGTAGGCGTAAAAGCTTGACGGAAAGTGGTTGGATTTACTCTTCACTTTCATCTTGGCTGGAAAGGATGACCCTTGCCAAAAGGATGCAAGCTACGCCACCGAGGGGAAAGATAATAGTAACCAGAAGATCTATAGAGCCTACGGGCAAAAAGTCTCGGTTTGAACAACCAGTCTGAACGGATGCTCCACCTTCTTGACCTTGCAACATTCTCACATCTATCATGCTAATTTGCCCAATTACAGACTCATAGAAATAGACATTTGTGTGAGGATTGGGAAGACTTTTGCTAGGCCAAGAGTATGATTGCCCGTTGTGCTAGTGATAGACGTCTGTGATCACAAGATTACCTGAGCTACTCTAGGGGTTTCGGCGAGTTGTAGAAAATCCGGTCATCTTGACTTTGCTGATAACCTCAACGACACGAGGTAGGTTCATTAGGAGAGGAATCGCTGTGACAACCGAGTCCACGGTGAGACCTAGGTCTGGAGTTTCACGCCGTTCCCTTGTATGAGTGGCTACGAGCACCAACTTAAAGTGAACCTCAGAGTCTCGGAGACTCTCGCACTCGGTTTCAAACCGAGATTTAGAAGGCCGACTTGAAAGTGTTCAATTATAGGCAATTGCTCGCCCGCGATTGAGTTTCCTGTTCATATGGAGAAGGCGATGGATGGAGACAATACCCCACCTGATTCCGCGGAGCTAAGGAAGCTAGGGCGACATTAGACCTGACTGAATGTAGTGCATCATTGCGCATGTTGGATTTCGGCAATCAACCCAAGCTATTTAAACCAGGAAACGTGTTCAAGCTTTCGAGGCCGAACCGAAAGCCATTGACAAACCCTGTGTCCAAGTTTGGGGTATTGCAGAAAGTTCTCCGAAACTCGTTGGAGACGTCGAGACGTCACAAAAGAGTGGCGGCAATCAGAAATTCGATCAAAAGCCGTAAGGGAATCTAGAGTTGACTTTTCGATAGCCAGAATTAGATTCAGAGCACTCACAAATCACACGACCAAACAATGTCATCCCAAAAAGAAGAAGAAAAAAGACCGAAAAAAAAAAACAGCCAGCTTCCCTGGTTACCCCCCAAGAGGCGTTTCGTCAGGCGGATATGGAACGGTAAAGTATCCGGTGAGTTGCCGCAACTATCGGTGTTTATGCCGCTCAATAGCCGCTGAAACCCGGGCGCGTTGGTCCAAAGTGACAAAAAATGGTCACGCTTTCGTCCAATAGTAGCAAATTTCTCCGAACTCAACTCCACGTCTACACGTGTTGCTACGCAGAAAGTTGCGGGTTTATGAGACGAGTCAGTACTGTGTACATGCAATGCGCTACTTTAGTTTGGATCTTGGACCATCTGGGTAAATTTGGGGGCCTCTGGGGAGTCTTTGCTCTCTAATAGAGGGGCTATCATTGTGAGCTTGCGGTGCTTGCCATCACGCAAATGGCTGCTGGGATCATGTCAGCAAGCCAACTTCGGGGTTCTTTCCCCTCCCCCGCCCCCTCCCCCACCTTGACGACGCCAACGACACGCCCGGATGGCTTCGTTTTTGACGTCGTCGAGTGGGCGAGTGGGAACTTGGTGCGGATTTGGCGCTGTTCCCCCACCATCCCACCCATCCACCCCGTCCACAGTCCATGGAATATCCATTTACCCCCGCTTACACGGAAGCTGTCGCGCGCGTTGTGTTTTATTGGATCGCGGTCTCTCCGTCATCGGTATGCCTTGCCCCGAGGTTAGGTAAAACCAGACGTGACCCCTCGCTCATTTTCTTCCAGATGCTCTCGTTTTTTCTGGTGTTTCTTCACGATCTCTTCAGTGTTCAGATTCTCCTCTCATACCACTCATAATGTAAGAGCCTCCTGTGCTATCCAAGCTTCCAATTGGGGACCAAAATCACTAACACACCAACCTCTAGATCTCATAAACCCTCAACACCACACACGTCACAGCCATGAAGCTCCTCTACCCCACCTCCCTCAAGCTCGACGTCGACAGCCTCCAGGGCTTCTCCGTCGACCTCGTCCCCTACGACGTGAAGACCACCATCCCCGAGGAGCACACAGACGCCGAGATCCTCGTCACCTGGACAAACTCAGCCGACAACCTCAAGGACGCCGCCGCCCGCCTCAAGAACATCAAGTGGATCCAGTCCCTCGCCGCCGGCCCCAACGACGTCCTCTCCGCCGGCTTCGACACCTCCAAGGTAACAGTCACCACCGGCTCAGGCCTCCACGACCACACCGTCGCAGAGCACGCCCTCGGCCTCCTCCTCAACGCTGCCCGCCGCTTCTACGAGATGCGCGACTACCAGCTCCAGTCAAAGTGGCCAGGCCACCTCGGCGGCCCGCAGCCCGACCGCCCCGCCAACGCCTTCACTACCCTCCGCGATGCTCGCGTGCTCATCTGGGGCTTCGGCAACATTGCCAAATCCCTCACCCCGCACCTCCGCGGCCTCGGCGCCCAGGTGAAGGGCGTCGCGCGCAACGCCGGCATCCGCGACGGCGTCGAGGTCTACGGCGAGGACAAGCTCGCCGAGCTCCTCCCCGAGACGGACGCCCTCGTCATGATCCTCCCCGGCTCCGAGTCCACCAAGAACGCGCTCAACGCCGCGCGCCTCAAGCAGCTGCCCAAGCACGCGTGGATCGTCAACGTCGGCCGCGGCACGTCCATTGACGAGGAGGCGCTCGTGGACGCGCTCGAGGCCGGCGAGGTCGGCGGCGCGGCGCTCGATGTGTTCGTTACGGAGCCCTTGCCCGAGTCGAGCCGGTTGTGGAAGGCGCCGAATGTTGTTGTCTCGCCGCATGCTGCTGGTGGAAGGCCGCAGGGCGCGGAGGCGTTGATTGCGTATAACTTGAGGCGGTTCCGTGCTAGCCAGTCGTTGAAGAATGTCATCTGAGGTGCGGCGGCTTTTTTTGGAGTGAAAAAAAAGGAAGGAGAGCGTGGTTTGGTGAATAATAGACATGATTGATACAATGCTCAATACAAAACGACCTTCATGATTCCAGAGTTTGACTTATGCGTCGCCCCTTTCTGCCCTTGCTCAGAACTCAACAGAGTGTCAGACCATGATCCCTCTCCGTCATCTGGGTATCATCTCGCTCAAGAGTCAAACGGCTCCGCAATCTTCTTCGCCCAGTAAACCTCCTCAGTCCACGACCACACCGTGACGTCAAGCGTTTCCTTCCACTTATTTGTCTTCTCCATCCACGCTTCATGACAAGCCTTCTGGAGGTCCTCTCGAGTCATTCCCTCGAGGTTCTGGTGGAACTTGCCATCCTCAAGCTGGCACCAATCCCGGAGCAATCGGCAGCGATCCTCTGCCGATGTGCGGCAAACCTCCCGGTGCAGCCATTCGCTTACCCGGAAAACAGCGTAGTCCGGGATGGAAGTCAACGGCACCACATCAAACTCTTCAGCGCAGAGGGCGAGCTGCTCCCGCGTGAGCTCCATCTCGTCTCCCATGCCTCCCATGATTGTATCCTCTCCAACAGCATCAAGTCCAGGCTGCGGCAGGTCAAAGTTTTTGAAAACTCTAGTGAGCTTCATGCTTCTGCCGGTGATGACGACCGTCACGGCCCATTTCAAGATGAGGTCGTACGTCTTGGCCAGAATCAATCTGCTCTCCGGGTCGTCAACGACGCCAGGGTTATAACCGAGAACCATCGCCATAACAAAGTGGCCGCGGCGGTGTACTCGCCCAACCGTGGAAATGCCGACCGTATCCGGGATATGATGTGTTCCCTGGATTACGTCCCACTTCAGATCCGAGAACATCTTGACGGCAGAGGGAACGATGACTTCAAAGGCGATGCCGTGGGGTGGCACTCTTCCGGGGAAGACGTTGTTCCACGTGTCTTCGCGCAAACGCGCGGCGACTTTGTCGTGGTCGCGCACAAGGTAGTTCTCCGGTCTCATCAAGGCGAGACCCTGCTTCTTCCGCTCCAGGGCGGGAAGGTCGTACTTTTGCTTGATGGCGTCCTTCAAGCCGTTGAACCAGGCGGAGGCGTCTTCTGGGGTGTTGGGCTTCACGGCTGGTTCGAAGTCGATCGACGGGAAGGTCTCGTGGTCGCCGTTTTTGGCGACTAGAAGGCAGTTCAAGAACGTCAGCAGAGGGTTTCGGACCTGATGTCTGCGGTAGTACTCACACTTCTCATGGATGAAGTTCCATACATTGAAATCGACATACCAGGCGAACCAGGCAGTCGAAACGGAGTCGCGACCCTCATGGATCAGTGATCTCGCCATTTGGTATGCTCTCGCGGCCTTGACGCGTTCGTAGTCGAATTTGCGAGGGACCCCCAGTTCCCTGAACTTTCCTTCGACGATCTCCGCTCGTCCTTCCGCTGCGAGAGCGATGTTCTCATCTTCCTCGCTCTCGTTCATCATCTTCTTCGATGGATCTGTGCTTGTTGGTTTGCTCTGAGTCTGCAATAATTATTGCGATGGCTTTTCGTGGGAGGGGGGAAATTCTGGGGGGAAGAAGAAACAACTGTAACTTGTAACGATATTGTGGAGGAAAGAAGTGATGAAGCAAAGGAGGGGAAACTGGAGGCAAGCACCTGGGTTTTCTATTTGTCTCGTGGCAGCGAAAAGGGTTTTCTGACTGATCTTTGCCCGTCTGCTTGACCAAGCGCGGGAGCACCTCCCGTCTAGCTTAAGGTCATAGATGCCGACTAATCATTCTCAACCGTGTGACCTGCGGTACCTTAGGCTCTATTGCGTCTTTCTTGAATATTGTTAAAGCAGGCGTTTTCAGAGAAAGACTCTTCCTTTCAATGCCGTCTTGAACATGTAAATGTCTGGAGATGACAAAGTGTTGCCTGAACACGTAGCTGTGAATGAGTTGGAAAAGGTACTTTCAATGGCTCTTGATACCCAATGATGGGACCAAAAGTTGCCAATGGCCTGATGTCAACGAGTGTTCTGAAGTCCCGATGATGTTTTCGAGTACCT